AGAGAGAGAACAAAGGGGAATGCCCTGCCACAGAGGTAGGGTGGGATGGGGGGCTGGGGGCTGGGGGGTGTGAGGGATACTGGGACTGGTGGTGGTGGTGAATGGGCACTGGTGGAGGGATGGATATTCGATCATTGTATAACTGAAACCCAAGCACAAAAATTTGTAAGTCTACAACTGTACCTCATGGTGTTTCACTAATAAAAATGTAAGGACAAAAAAAAGAAAATGCCATAGACAAGAAGCTCTGAATTTGTATCACCTAGTATGTCTGTTCCTCAATATAAAAAGAAAATTAAAGCTGTTAACTGCTAAAAAAAAATGTGCATATTAAATCTGCTCTGTAACTAGTTGAGTAAGGCTGTACTACAGAACCTTTCAATCCATTCTGACACATTAGAGGAGAGCAGCTATAGCTCCTCAAATGCTAAAGAACATAATGATCTAGCTTCTTAATTCTGTGAAATAGTATGATAGTCTGAAAAAAGAAAACTTCACTTTTTTATGAAGTTTGAGAAACCTTCGGATATACACTGAATGAAATGTTATTCTTGTCCCATTTCATGTTTGTTTGGTTTTGGGGCCATATCCAGCGATGATCAGGGACCAGACCTGGTGCTGCTGGGGTGCGCATATGGATCACATATGGATGCTAGGGATCGAACCTGGATCAGCCTCCTGCAAGATGGGTCCTTTACTCACTAGCATGTTTCTGGTACCTCCTATACCTCACCCCCCTCCCCCGCCCGCTTTGGGACACACTGAGAGGTGCTCAGGGCTTACTCCTGACTATGTGCTCAGGGATCACTCCTGGCAGGATTCAGGGGACCTGAAGGGTTATAAACCTTGGTCAGCTGCAGGCTAAGCAAATGCCCTTTTAGCATTTGCTACTTATTATTTATTAATAATATGTAAGGATTCAAGTTTTATGATGGTATCTCCACTCACTGTCATTGTCCTCCATTGTTAATCAATTTGCTTGAATGGGCCCGGTAACACTGTGAGACTTGTTACTGTGTTTGGCATATGGACTACCTCATGGGTAGCTTGCTAGGCATTGCCGTGCAGGTGAGATACTCTCGGTAGCTTGCCGGGCTTTCCCAGAAGGGTGAAGGAATCGAACTTGGGTCAGCTGTGTTGGCCGTGTGCAAGGCAAACGCCCTACCCACTGTGCTATCGCTCCAGCCCTGCACGTGGCAATTCGAGTTTAATTCCTCGCCCCTCTCGGAGAGCTCAGCAAGCTACTGAGAGTATCTACCCTGCACGGCAAAGCCTGGCAAGCTCCCCATGACGTATTTGACATGTCAAAAACAGTAACAACAAGTTCTCACAATTTGTTGTGAGACTTTACTGGTGCCCGCTCAAGCAAATCGATGAACGGGAGGACAGTGCTCTACAGTGCAGTGCTACTAGCGCATAACCTTGGAGATGAAAGAATTATGTGTGCCTGATCCATCCATCCATCCTTATTAATAACAATTTATTAGGTAAAGGTAAAGGTAAAGACCCTCCCGTTGATCGTCGATTTGCTCGAGCGGGCCCAGTAACGTCTCCATTGGAGACTTTTTTGTTACTGTGTCTGGCATATTGAATACTCTCGGTAGCTTGCCGGGGGCTGGAGCGATAGCACAGCGGGTAGGGCGTTCGCCTTACACGCAGCCAACATGGTCGACCCGAGTTCGATTCCTCCGCCCCTCTCGGAGAGCCCGGCAAGCTACCGAGAGTATTCGATATGCCAGACACAGTAACAACAAAGTCTCCAATGGAGACGTTACTGGGCCCGCTCGAGCAAATCGACGATCAACGGGAGGGCCTTTACAATTTATTAAATAATAATAAATATACATAATTATTATTATAAATAATTATGTATATTTATTATTATTTATTTGCTATTTAGATAGCACTGTGTTATCTCTCCAGCCCCTGAACATTTATTTTAAAAAGTTATGAAAGGGGCTGGAGCGATAGCACAGCGGGTAGGGCGTCTGCCTTGCATGCAGCCAACATGGCCAACACAGGTTCGATTCCCAGCACCCCATATGGTCCCCTGAGCACCACCAGGAGCAATTCCTGAGTTCATGAGCCAGGAGTAACCACTAAGCATCACCGGGTGTGACCCAAAAAGCAAAAAAAAAAAAAAAAAAAAAAGTTATGAAAGCATCAGTGGGCCACTGAATATATTAGAATCACCTCTTTTTCTTTAAAAAAAGTTACCATCAACCCAATAGAGAATGTAGCATGTAAAATTCTTAATTATAAAATGAATTTTTAGTGTAATCTTAAAAAATGGACTAAATCTAATTGATTCTTTAGTGAGATAACTCTACTCTGAGTACTCTGAGGACAGTTCAACAAATTTCTAAATTTGTGGTTTTTTTTTTTCCCCAAGCCATAGCTGCCTGTGCTCATAGCATATTCCTGGCTCTGTGCTCAAAGACCAGAGGCAGGGCTCTGGGGACCAAAATAGGGGATCAAACTTGGCTCAGTCATATGCAACACCAGTGCTTTACCCACTGCACTACATCTCTGGGCCTTGATAAATTTTTTTTTCTTTTTTTTTTTTTTTGCTTTTTGGGTCACACCGTCGATACACAGGGATTACTCCTGGCTCATGCACTCAGGAATTGCTCCAGGCCGTGCTTGGGGGACCATAAGGGATGGTGGTATTCGAACAGGTTGGCCGCGTGCAGGGCAAACACTCTACCAGCTGTGCTATCACTCCAGTCCCTGATAAATTTCTTAAATTGTAAAACTATGGTAAGAAAAAGAAGATAGTGACTTTCCATATTTAAAAATCATTAACTGTTGTGTAAGTCTCAGACATCAAATGTGAAGAAGAAAATCTTCCCAATGAAAACAATTAAGAGTTTTAGAAGTTAAATAGCTTACTCTTTTCATAGTTTAAGAATTTTAGGAATGTCACATATTCCTAAATTATACACATTAGTAAGGATGGGGCAATAAAAGTATTCATTTTAATATATACAGTAAATATATATCATTTTAATATATATAGAATATATAAATATATATAGAATGTATATATTAAAATTAGAATATAGATAATATAGACTATATATATTAAAAATGTCATATATAGTAAAGGTTCAGAATAAGATAAAAATATCAACAATGAAATTATAAACTAATAAACTGAACATTTCTTTAAAGTCATAATATCACTGGGGTTTAAAATAATTTTTTTTAATTTTTTGTGTTCTGGGTCATATGCACTCAAATTCCTTTATCAGGAATAATTGCACAGAAGCTATTGAGTCGTTAGAACATTAATTTATCTATTCGGGGAGAGGGCAAGGAGGAGAGCTCCACCCAGCAGTGCTCAAGACTTGCTTCTAGCTCTGCACTCACTATTGCCAGGGTTCAGAGGACTGACTATATAGGTGTGCTAGGTATTGAACCCTGGTTGGCTGAATATAAGCACCCAATTCACTGTACTATCACTCTTGCCCCTAAAATAAAATTTTAATACTCAACAGAAAATACTTCTTTCTCTTCTGATTCCTAAAGAATTGATTAGACACAAAACTGCTTTAAAACAAAACTAGTGGAAAAACTTTACAAAGATGGAATATAAAAAATCAAAGTAGGGGCTGGAGTGATAGCACAGCGGGTAGGGCATTTGCCTTGCATGCGGCCAACCCGGGTTCAATTTCCAGCATCCCATACTGTCCACACCAAGCACCGCGAGGAGTAATTCCTGAGTGCATGAGCCAGCAGTAACCCCTATGCAATCAATGCCAGGTGTGACCCAAAAAGCAAAAAAAAAACCAACAAAAAAACCCCAAAAAACAAAACAAAAAAACCCCCCACAAATCTAAGTAGACATTATGATATTAAAAACTACATAGGTACCTGACCTACGAGCATGGAATTATATTAGCACTTAAAACTTTAAGATCAATGGGGGCTGGAGAGATAGTACCAAGGTCAGAGCACTTGCCTTGCACACGGCGAACCCAGATTGGATCCCTGACATCCCATATGGTTCCCTGAGCACTGCCAGGAGTATTACTGAGTGTAGAGTTAGGAGTAACCCCTAAGCATTGCCAGGTGTGGCCCAAAAGCCAAAAAAAAACCCCCAAGAAATTCCTATTTGTGTGGACAAAGATGAAACAGAAAGAAAAAATGATCAGAATCTGTTTCCAATGCTGAGGTCTGTGTGTCCCCATGCAGTTAAAGTCACTTCTTTCAGATTTTTATTAAGAAAAACATTTTTCAGGAAGTTAATTCGATGTCAAATTATCTAGTATCTAGTTTTCCCTACACTGCCCGGGAACTCTGAATTACCAATTGTGTCTTCACCGTATTATGTCATGTTTCCTTTTCACTTTGAGCAAAAAAGATTCAATTCTTTCCTATCTTAAGGAAAGTTCATCTGAGAGGAGACAATGGAACAGTGGTGGAGAGTTACAGATATATATTGGCATCTGTTACTGCAATAAAAATAAGGGAACAATATTTGTACTGCTAAAATTTATATCTAAAGCTAAAAAATGTACTTATCCTTTTTTGTAAGCATGCTGATTTATAATCATGCATACATGCTTACAAATGTTGATTTATAATCATGCATACATAAACCTAATATGTAATGTAATGCAATGTTACTTCGGTAAAATTATTAAAGAAAATAATTTGTTTCTATTGTAATCATTTTTTGTGGGGGACTACACCAGTTGTACCCAAGGCTTATTCCTGGCAGGACTCAGGAGACCATAGTGGGTGTTGTGCATCAAACTTAGGTCTGCCATGTGCAAAACAAGCACCTTACCTGTTGTACTACCCACTCCTGTCTCTATTATAATCTTAATGAGCAAGTTAACTGGTATGTATTTTGGGTATGTCAAATACACAATTAATCAGAATTCTATTATTTTGTTTCATAAAAGATTAAGATAACAGCTATGTCTTTACTTCCATAATATGCAAACAATATCCTATGGTAATTAACAAAGAACCAGAACATTATCACTTACATCATCACTCTGCTGAGCTTCTTGCATTACAAATTCTCGAACCATGGATGGACTAAATTCTACTAGATAAGAAAATATATCTGTAGCAGCTGATCTGACTTGCAAATCATCCATGCCCTGGTAAAAGGAAAAATAAGTTACTTAGAGTTACAAAAGTTATCCTCACAATCCCCCTTTGTCCCCAAGTCTAAGAGTTAATTCTAAACCTCCGAATTTAGAGATTGTACTAGAAGCAAAATTTATAACCTTGTCCCGTATTTCCTTTCCTTTCACAAATATTGAAAACGTATGTAGCTCAATTTTTACCAGTTTTCATGACCACAAAGAGAAATAATCGTAAATTAAATATAAAAATCATGGGACTGGGGAGATAATACAAGGATTAGGACAGCTGCCTTGCACCCTGCCAACCCCAGTTGAATCCAAAGATATGTATAGGGTCCCTTAAGAACTACCTGTGATCACTCCTGAGCGGAGCAAGAAATAGCCTCTTACACCACTGGATATGGCCCCCAAAGCCCTAAGAAAATAAAAACAAAAACAGCAAGAATAATCAAGGGCCAAAGAGATAGTACAGAGTATACATTACATGTGGTCAACCCAGTATCAGCCAGGAGTAAGCTCTGAGCACAAGCAGGTGTGGCCACAAAAAAAGAAGAATCTTTTAACAAAATAACAAAATAGACATTAAAGGGACTAGCAAAAAAAAAAGTCATTCTGTGCTAAATTCTTTTTTTGATTTGGGAAAGTATTTTTCTCACAAAAGTTATACGCGTTAACATAAACATATTTGAAAAGAATTCTTCTCAAGTTTTGGATTTTATAAATACCCAATAAGGCTGAAAGTTTAAGAAGCATTTTGTCTACTTCAGGAAGTTACCTTCTATTTCTAGTTTCCTAATACTTTTTAACTGCCATGAACAGGCACGATGGTCGAATTTTTTCAAAGACCTTTTCTGGATGTATTGTGACCATAACTTTTCTTTTGTGCTTATTTATATGGTGAATTAAATTCATTGCTCTTCTAACTGGAGCGATAGCATAGCAGGTAGGGCATTTGCCTTGCATGTGGCCGACCCAGGTTCGATTCCTCTGTTCCTCTCGGAGAGCCTGGCAAGCTACCAAGAGTATCCTGCCTGCATGGTAAAGCCTGGCAAGCTACCCATGACATATTCGTGCAGCCAAAAACAGTAACAACAAGTCTTACAATGAAGACATTACTGGTGCCCACTCGAGCAAATCGATGAACAACAGGAGGACAGTGCTACAGTGCTCTTCTAGCATTAAAACAACCTTATGTTACAGTCATCAATCTTTTTGTGTGTTTTTGATGCAATTTATTAAAATTTTGCTTTGAATTTAAGATAAAACAAAAAAAAATGGATAAAATTCATCTAACGAAAGTCTGAGAACTTCTGTTCTATTTATTTAGGAGAGAATTAGCTTCTTCCTTGATCCAGTCTGCCCTCACTCACTCATGATCTAAAAAAAGAAAGCTATTTTATTCATTTCTATAAAGTTTATTTAGTATTGTTACAAGAAGAGATAATACTTTTGTTTTAAGTCAAATCCAGCAGCTTACTACTGGCTCAATGTTCAGGGATCACTCATGGTGGGAACTTGGGAACCATATGAAGTGCTGGGAATCAAATCTGGGTTGGCCTTTACCCACTGTACTGACTCTCTGGCCCCATACAATAATACTCTCAAGAAATTATATGGGATAGCCAAATATGTTCAATTCATGCTTTGCTCGTACTTTCTATATGGGAGGCCTAAGCAGCACACCAGGACTGAACCTGACTACTGCCAAGCAAGAACCCCAACTCCTGACCCACCCCCCTCCATCCCCCCAAACACACACACACAAAAAAACCTGTGTGGCCTAGGGATGTGGCACAAGTTTTGCATATGGAGTTTTGCATGCCCTCACTGCCTCCCAGCCCTGCAAATCTGGACATGGCTCTGGATCCCCAGCACCAATAGGAGTGGCAATAGTAATAAAAAGAATAAAATTTTAACTTGAAATCATTATCTGAAAATAATTATATTACTATTAACAAATTTAACAAAAATCTGAAGACTGAACATATTCTTGTAATAATTTACTATCAAATGAATTATAATCTAAACTATAAAATTCAATGTGTACTACTCTTATTACTTTCCCATTCATAACTCTATTATAAGGGACCAAAAAAAGTATAGCAGACACTTACCAACTTACCCACGGTATTGTTTTGCACACAGATGATCTAGGTTACATCCCTGGCACCCCAGATGGTCCCCCGAGCACTGTCAGGAGTGATTCCTGGGTGCAGTGTTGGGAGTAACAACTGAGCAGTGCTGGGTGTGGGACAAAACCAAACCAAACCACAAAAAATACAATCTATATCTCTATTATACATTCATTACTTCAAAACTAAGAAAAGTTAGTATATAATTACCATCACAATTTCAAGAGCAGGAAGAATCCCCAACTTTGCCAAAGTTTTGAAAAATGCATCCCTATTTTGAGGTTGTAGTGTCTGAGAAAATGCACAAAATTCCTTGAAAAAATTAACCTGCAATATTAGAAAGTACAGTGAGAATTTGATACACAGAAGTAAATTTGGGACACAGTATAATGAGATCTGCCAGTGTCGAATTCACCTTTTCAAGAATCTCACCCAACCTTTTCAAAGGTACTCTGGGGGTTTTCAAGATTTGTAATAAAAAGTTTATTAAAGAGTGCTATTCATTAAATCAAACCCTGCTTTATTTCTCGAACACTGAATATTATAATACATATGTTAAGGGGCTGGAGTGATAGTACAGTGCGTAGGGTATTTGCTTTGCACATGCTTAACTGGGTTTGATTCCTGGCATCCCAATGGTCCCCTGAGTACTGACAGGAGTAATTCCTGAGTGCAGAGCCAGGAGTAATTCCTGAGTGCAGAGAGCCAGGAGTTACACCTGAGTAAGACCCAAAAGGAAAATAAATATATAATTTGGAGTCTAAGTGTTGATTTCTCTCTCCCACCTTCAGTCCCTCATCCTCAATTTAATGGTGAAGGTACAAAAATGCTATATAAAGCATTATTTTAAGAGCTCACTGTATCATAAAAACCATGCTATAATAAATGGGGGAGGGGGTTAGGTGCTAGACACTACAGCAGGTATTTGACTTCCAAGTGACCAACCTGGGTTCAATCCCTGGTACCGAACATAGTCCCCTGAGCCCCACCAGGAGTGATACCTGAGTCCAAAGTCATGAGTAAGTTGAGCATAACCAGGTGTGGTCACAAAACAAAACCGCAAAAATAGAAAGAACAATTTATAGCGCATCTACCACTGCATAAAGTCTGAGTTTGTAGCTCTAATTAATGGCATGATCCAGAGACTCATAAATAAACCTTGGAAGAGAGCAACACTCTGCAGAGAAGCCTCTGGACTCCAAAGTCACCATCCAGTTAAAAATTAAATTCTAGCTGTATCATCCTATTTGAAATCTTAGAATTCCTGGAGCAAGATCTCATACTCTATGTCCCCCACTAGCATACCACACTTGATGGGGTGTAAAGAAGGAGGAAACCAAACTCAGTTTAAAATATTTATACGTTAGCACACAAGGACCGAAGTGATAGCACAGCGGGTGGGCATTTGCCTTGCACGCAGCCGACCCGGGTTCGATTTCTCTGTCCCTCTCGGACAGCCCGACAAGCTATCCCAACCACACGGCAGAGTCTGGCAAGCTACCCGTGATGTATTCAATATGCCAAAAACAGTAACAAGTCTCAAAATGGAGACGTTACTGGTGCCCGCTCAAGCAAATCAATGAACAATGGGAGGACTGTGCTACAGTGCTACAGCGAGCACACAAGGATCAACCTTTAACAACATGTTAGTAATCCCTTTTACAAGGGCTTACTGGCTCCAACCTGACATTCAACAATCTTCACACACTTTCATATAAAGAAACTTTTTTTAGGTCATTTTAGCAGATTATTCTTAACAAACAATACAAAATAAATTATTTAGGTCCTGCTTTGGGGCAGGCTTTGTTTACCAGGGTGGGAAAATTCTAAATATGGAGGTGGGAAAATTGTAATGGTGATGGGATTAGTGTTGGAAAATTCAATGTAATAAATTATTGTGAAAAACTTTATAAAAATAAATTTAAATTAAAAAATATCTGTAAAACATCAAAAATATAAATTATAGGGGCTGGAGAGATAAAACATTGGGTAGGGAACTTAGTTCAATCCCCTGCATCCCATATGGTCCAGAGAACCACCAGGAATAATTCCTGAGTGCAGGGCCACGAGTAAGCCTATAAGCATGGCTGAGTGTGTCCCCCAACCCCCAAAACTAAATTATAGAACTCGAGGATAAGCATTTGTAGTTCAATTTAAATACTATTTTTATACTGATTATAAAGGCACTTTCTTGCTAACAAAGCTGTGTATGCCAAAAATTAAATACTCATAAAGGACTGAATTTTAAGAAACTCACCAATTCACGCCGTTTATCATCGTCTGTAGCCTCATCTGTTAATTGTGCAAAAACTTCAGACAAAAACTTCTCATCTTCCTAAATAAGAATTTTCATGAAATATTAATGAACGTATATACATTTGCTTATAATTCACACAAAATAAAAGTAGCTGCTACTTCGAGTTTCATCATGAAATACGAATAGGACTATAGAGACAGTACAGGGATTGAAGTGCATGACTTACATGTTCAATCTCAAGCACCATAGTGTCCCCAAGAATTGCAAGGTGCAGTACGGGAGGTCTCTGTGCACCTATGGGTGTGTTTCTGTGCACCTATGGGTGTGTTTCTAGAGTTTACTGAGTACCACCAAGGTGGCCCAGGTAAACTCCACACATAGGGCCCAAGAAGTACCATATCCTCAGACTTCTGTATCAAGTCAATGACCCAATGTTGGGAGGGAACTCTAGGATTTTCTGAGCATTACCTGGGAAAATACCAACCCCATGCCAAATTCATGCTACAATTTTCAAAACCTGACTAGACAATTCAATCAGAGTTACACATAAGTTTGAAGATCTTACTGTAAGTCCATAAAAGATTTTTAAAATATAGCGCGGGGACCTGAAAGATAGTACAGTGGATAGAGCACTTGCTTTGCATGCAGCCAAACTGGGTTCAATCCCTGGCATCCCATATGATCCCCCGAGCCTGCCAGTAGTAATTCCTCTATGCCGGGCCAGGAGTTATCCCTGACCACCACTAAATATGGCCCAAAACAAAACAAAACTAGTAAGAAAAAAAATATTAAAAATATGGCATGGAACAAAAAGCAGTAAGGGAGATTAAAATGTCAGCGGTATTATAAAGTCTTAAAAACACAAGAAAAGGAACAGGAGTGATATTATAGCAGGTAGGGATGTGCCTTGCATGTGGCTGACCTGGGTTGAATCCCCAGCATCCCATATGGTCCCCGAAGCACCACCAGGAATAATTTCGAATGCAGAGTCTGGGACCCCTGAGCACTGCCAGATGTGCCCCAAAAAGCCAAAAAAAAGTGTTATTTTTTTTAAAACTAAAGAAACACAAGAAGAAATGGTATCAAATAATCTACGACTTGTTGGAGTACAGTGCTACATGTTCCCATATTTGCCAAGGATAAAAATAAATGATAAAACACAATAACCATTACTGTCCACGACTATTAGTACTAAGCATTGCTAAAAACAACAAATAGGGAACAGAATAATACAGTGGAGATGGCATTTGCCTTGCACACAGTCAACCTAGATTCAATCCCTGGCATCCCATATGGTCCCGAGCACCACCAGGAGTGATTCTTGAGTGCAGAGCCAGAAGTAACCCCTGAGCATCACCAGGTGTTACCAAAAAAGCCCAAAATAAATAAATAATAAAAATAAAAACAACAAATGGGGCCAGAATGATAATACACAAGGTAGGGCGTTTTCCTTGCACATGGCCAGCCAGGGTTCAATCCCTGGAATCCCATATCATCTAACACTGCCTGGAATAGTACCTGAGTACAGAACCAGGAGTAAATCCTGAGCACAGATGGATACGACCCTCCCCAAACACACACACACACACACACACACACACACACACACACACACACACACAAAGTATGTACCATATATTTTAATATACACATATATGTATGTCTATAGTTTTTGTAACTTGTGGGCCACAATTCACAATGTTCAGAGGGTACATTAATTTGGCATGGTGTTTGGAGGGGTCTGTGGTACCAGGGATCAAATCTGGGGTTCAAGCACACAAAGTATGCACTCCAGACCTTTGTGTTATCTCCCTGGCCTTAGAAATATTTAATTACATTGAAATGGCAATATTTGAGATATTCACCATCCAGCATTTCTAGTATAGGAATAGGGAGAAGTTAAAACTTCTTGTTTTCCCCATCAAAAAATTGGGCGAGGAAATGAACAGAAACTTTCTCAAAGAAGAAACCAGAATGGCAAAAAGGCACATGAGAAAATGCTCTACATCACTAATCATCAGAGAGATGCAGATCAAAACAATGAGATATCATTTCACACCACAGAGACTCGCCCACATCCACAAGAACAAAAGCAACCGGTGCTGGCGCGGATGTGGCGAGAAAGACCCTCCTTCACTGCTGGTGGGAATGTTGATTGGTCCAACCCTTTTGGAAAACAGTATGGACGATTCTCAAAAAATTAGAATTTGAGCTCCCATCTGACCCAGCAATACCACTCCTGGGAATATATCCCAGAGAGGCAAAAAAGGATAGTCGAAGTGGCATCTGCAATTGTTTGTTCACTGCAGCACTCTTTACAATAGTCAGAATCTGGAAAAAATCTGACTGTCCGAGAACAGATGACTGGTTAAAGAAACTTTGGTACATTTACACAATGGAGTACTATGTAGCTGTTAGAAAAGATTCACTGAAGTCATGAAATTTACATACAAGTGGTACTACACGGAAAGTATCATGTTAAGCGAAATGAGTCAGAAAGAGCGGGATAGACACAGAAAGATTGCATTCATCTGGGGAACATAAAGCAACAAAATGGGAGACTAACACCCAGGAGTGGCTGACATTAGTACCAGGAATTTTGCTCCATGACTTGGAGGCCAGCCACACGTGCTAGGGGAAAAGGAAGCTCAGATAGAGAAGAGAGCACCAAATAAAGGGTGTTGGGAGGATCCTCCCAGGGTGGGAGAAGCATGCTGAAAGTAGACTGACTATAGACCAAACATGATTGCCACTCAATGCCTCTCTTGCAAACACAGGACCCAAAAGGAGAGAGAGAGAGAACAAAAGGGAATGCCCTGCCACAGAGGCAGGGTGGGATGGGGGGATGGGGGGGTGGGAGGGATGCTGGGACCTGTGGTGGTGGAGGATGGGCGCTGGTGGAGGGATGGGTACTTGATCATTGTATAAATGAAACCAAGCACAAAAATTTGTAAGTCTATAACTGTACCTCATGGTGTTTCACTAATAAAAAAATAAAAAAAACTTCTTGTTTGAAAAGGGCTTTAACTCATAGCTGCCAATGTAGAAATAACCTAATTATATTGGTATTTAGAAATTTAATTTGTAAAACATTTCAAACTGGGGATCAGCTAGAAATTTAAGTTTACTAAAATCTTATGTGCCTATTATACTTAAGAGAATTTCAAACCTCACTGAGCACTGTGGCAGTGTGTGACCTCTGGAAAGCACTATAACTAAAAGATGTGCAACTGGGGCTGGAGTGATAAGGATTAAGGCTCCTGCCTTGCATAAGGCTGATCCAGGTTCAATCACTGGCATCATATGATCCCTAAGTATAACAACCGAGTTTGATATAGTTGCCCCATCCTCTCATCCACAAAACTGTGTGACCACCACAGCCAGGTGTGGTTGTGTGCAATTCCCTACACACAGCAAAACAAAGAAAAGGGAGATGGAGGAAGGAATAAAAAGAAGGGGGAGGGGGTGGCTTCAAGGTCTGGAATGCATGATTTGCATGCACTTTTATTGAAGTATTTTTTAATAATAATTCCATTAATCATTTTGTGGTAACAGCAATATAAAATCAATTATTTTGGGCCTGCTATGGGGTCATTCTTAAACCACATTATCTAAATAAAGTGAGGGAAAAAGAGAAATCAACCAATATAGCAAAGTAGCAGATTATAAAATCACACAAAAAGAGTTGCATTATATGCAAAGAATAGAAGAGGAAGACAATTCCATTTAAAATAGTGTCCATAAACATAAGTATTTAAGAATAAACAAATACATTGTAACAAATGACTACTGAAACAAGAAGCCTATACCAGGAAAAGAAAAAATGAGCATCCTATTCAAAATAAAAAAATTGATGATACTCTTTGAAGGACTTAAAATACTAAAATTTTTGTGGAATCATAACACCTAAACATTAAAGAAATTCTGAGAAAGAAAAGATGATAGGTTCCCTGTTATAAATTATACTATAAAACTATAATAATAAAAAATGTGCAGTGGAACAAAACCCCATGACAATAAATCTCTCTCTCTCAATGCCAATGACCTAAATGCACCAATTAAGAGACAACAGAATGGCAAAATGGATTCAGAAACTGAACCCAACATTCTGCAACCCTACAAGAAACACATCTGAATAGTCAGAGTAAACACAGACTCAAAGTCAAAGGATGGAAAACAATCCTGCAAGCAAACAACTCCCTCAAAAAAAGGCAGGGTGGCCATACTAGTATACAACATAGATTTCAGGTTGAAAAAGATTAGAAGGAACAGCGAAGTTCAATTTTTACTAATCAAGGGGTATGTACAGCAGGAAGAAATCACACTCCTAAACATATACGCACCCAATGAGGAACCAGTTAAATACTTAAAACAACTGCTAAAAAATTTTAAGGAGGACACTGAGAGCAACACAATAGTAGTTGGAGACTTCAACAACACCTTATCACCTCTGGATAGAATAGCAAGATTAAAATGCAGAAAGGAAACACTGGTTTTGAAGGAAGAAATAGGAGAGGGCTATACAGGGCTTTACATCCCCCCCCAAAAGAATACATTTTCTTCTTCAGTGCACACAGAACATTTTCCAAAATAGACCACGTGCTGGGTCACAAAACATACCTCAATAGAATCAGGAAGATAGAAATGCACTGAAGATAGAAGTTAATCATGCACAGACACAGAGAGCCAAATCAAACACCTGGAAATTAAACAACTCAATGTTGAAGAATGAGTGGGTCAGAGAGGAAATCAAGGAAGGAATCAAAAGATACCTGGAAACAAATGAGAATGAATACACAAGCTACCAAAACCTGTGGGATTACCAGAACCTGTGGGACGCGGCTAAAACCGTGTTAAGGGGAAAATTTATAGCTCTGCAAGCATTTCTCAGACAGGAAAAAAGGGCCCACATAAATAACTTGACTTCACAGCTCAAGATCTTAGAAAAGGACCAACAAAAGGAGCCCAAACCAGGGAGAAGGAAAGAAATAAGAAAACTTAAGAGTAGAAATTAATGACATGGAAACCCAAAAAACAATCCAAAAGATCAATGAAACCAAGAGCTGATCTTTGAGAAAATAAACAAGATTGACTCACAAAGAAAGAGAGAGAATCAGAAATTAAAAGGGAGATACAACAGAAACTAAAGAAACTCAAAAGATCATCAGAGACTACTTTGAAAGTCTGTATGCCACAAAACAAGAGAACTTAGAAGAAATGGATAAATTCCTGGACTCCTATAATCTCCCAAGGCTGAACCAAGAAGATCTGGAATACCTGAATAGACCTATTACTATCAAGGAAACTGAAACTGTAATCAAAAGTCTTCCCAAAAACAAAGCCCAGGTCCAGATGGATTCACTAGTGAATTCTTCCAAACATTTGAAGAGGACCTATTGCCAGTTCTTCTCCAGCTTTTCCAGAAAATTGAAGAAACAGAAACTGTCAGTTTCTATGAGGCACATATCTCCCTAATACCAAAAGCAAACAGAGACAGTGCAAAAAAAAGAAAATTATAGGCCTATATCCCTGATGAACACGGATGTGAAGATCCTCAACAAAATATCAGCTGACAGAATCCAACAACTCATCAAAAAGATCATATACCACGACCAAGTGGGTTTCATCCCAGGGATGCAAGGATGGTTTAACATTTGAAATGATTCAACATAATCCATCATATCAATGAAAGAAAAGATACAAACTACATGATCATATCAATAGATGCAAAGAAAGCATTTGAAAAGATCCAGAATCTGTTTGTGATGAAAACTCTCACCAAAATGGGTATTGAAGTAGCTTTCCTTAATATAGTCAAAGCCATCTACCACAAGCCTATGGCAAGCATTATCCACAGTGGGGAAAAACTAAGAGCCTTCCCTCTAAGATCAGGGACAAGACAAGGATGCCCACTTTCACCACTTCTGTACTGCTGGACTAGAGCCATTACTGACTGGATTCCGTGGGATGTCAAAAGATCACGTGGCCTCCCACCTATGAGATGGTCAGGCTTCTTCGTCAAGACCCTGAATGATCGGTTTGAGGCTGTTTGTATTCCTTGAACGAGCAGACGCCATTGGGCTACACTAGCACACGAAAGGGACGAATAGAGACGTTACTGGCACCCGCTCGAGCAAATCAATGATTAAGGGATTTCAAGTGATCAAGTGATGGAAAACAATCTGGAGAGTTCCTCAAAAATTAGGAATTGAACTACCAAGAGATCCAGCGACAAAACTTTTGGCAACCAACCACAAAACACAAAAATATAAACTCGAAAGGATATATGGTCCCAAAGCTGCCACCTGTCCACATATCCACTGGCCCTGCTCTTCATATTCACAAACTAAATCTCTGAAGAGATATAAATCAAGCAGCTAAAATACAGATCATCCAGTGTGAAAACTGGGATACTCTTTGAAGGGGGTGTGGGTTGAGTCCCTGCTCTGCCAAAGCCCTGGCAGCTGCACCCAACTCAACTACTGCCAATCAATTTAGTAAATGCTCAGACAAACACATAAACCCCTGATGAGATGTAACAATTTTCAGGGCTGGAGCAACAGTACAGCAGGTAGGGCATTTGCCTTGCACAGGGCAGACCTCGGTTTAGTCCTCAGCATCCCATATGGTCCCTCAAGCACCAGGAAAATTTCTCAGTGCAGAGCCAGAAGTAAACCCTGTTCATGACTGGGTGTGACCACCCTCCCCACCCCCCGCAAAATAAAAGAGATGTAACAATTTTCACAAATTTTCTTTTACTGAACTATTTTTGATAATATCTTTAGTCATTTTGTTGTGACAAGCATTTTAAACAAATTATTCTGTGCCTGCCAAGGCAGCAAACTTAAGGGGTGGTTGGGAAAATGAGGACAATGGAGGAAGGTCACTCAGGTGTTAGGATAGGTGTTGGAACATCAAAAGCCTGTAACAACTGTATTATGAACTTTGTAAACCACGTAACTTTGTAAATTTTGTATACCATGGTGTGTAAATAAAGTATATTTGAAAAAGAAAAGATATATGCACATCTATGTTTATCGCCATACTAAGTACAAAAGCAGATATGGAACAATCCCAATTTATCAAAATGGATGAATGGTTCATGAAGTTGTCTCTCGGAGGCTGGACCGATAGCACAGCGAGTAGGGCGTCTGCCTTGCATGCAGCCAACCCGGGTTCAATCCCAGCATCCCATATGGTCCCCCAAACACTGCCAGGAGTAATTCCTGAGTGCAAAGCCAGGAATAACCCCTGAGCATTGCTGGGTGTGACCCAAAAAGAAAAAAAAAGTCCCCCCCCCCACATACACACACACACAGAATACTATACAGTTCTAAGATCAAAACCATACAATTTGTAGCAAAATGGATAGAACTAAAGAATATCATAAAGAGTGAAATTAGTCAGAAAAAAGACAAAGAATGATCTCTTTCATTGTATAGGACTAAAAGATATGGAGCAAAGTAGTGACAAAGGTCCAAAGATAACATAATGGGAGAACCAACCCACAATTGGATGGAGGGAAAGGAGGGAGAGGGGACAATCTGAAAGGGAGGACTGTTGGGTTCTTTGGGGGCGGGAGGTGGGTATAGTGGTGGAGGTGTAGTGTTGGAATTACATTCATGAGAAACCATTACTAAAAGCACTGTAAACAACAAAATCTCAAAAAATAAATAAATAAAAAAGGAACCCTTATTCTCTGTGGGTAGGATTGTCATCTGATTTAGTCTGAAACAAAAACAGTATGAAAATTTCTTTTTAAAAAGTCAGAACAGGGACTAGAGTGATAGCACAGTGGGTAGGGCATTTGCCTTGCATGCGGCCAACCCGGGTTCGATTCGCAGCATCCCATATGGTCCCCTGAAAGATGTGGTACATACAGTGGAATACTATGCCAAAAAGACAAAATCTTGAAGTTTGCTACAATTTAGATGAATTGTAAGGTAACATGTTAAGTCTAATGAATGAGGACAAATAGCAGATGGTGTCAGCCATTTGTACTTTACAGAGAAATGAAATATGGGAATAGACAGTATACTGAATGATGGCAAATCCTTGGACTAGTATTACAAAACTGCCTTAAACAATAGGTATGAGATGTCAAATTAACACATGAAAGTTCAAGACGATTGCAGTGAGCACAATTTCAGAGTTCATGGTGTAATTCAGGAATTAAGTTTCTTGAAATAGCTAAAGAGGAAGTTAAAAATTAACTATTTTGGTGATAGAGTGATAGTACAGCAGTAGAATGCTTGCTAATGTATTAGTATGCATATGCTAACAGTAGAATGCAGGCAGCTAACCCAGGTTCCATGCAGGGGGTGGAACCAATATGGTACCCCCCAGCATGGCCAAGAGTAATTACTGAGTACAGACTCAGGAGTGACCCCTAAGCATTGGTGGGCATAACCCCAAATCGAAACAAAAATTTATTTGTTGGGATTACAATTCTAAATTGTAAAGATCTTCTATTGTTAGCTTTCAACCCAACTCAATGAATTAAGTCAAACTCATGTGCATAAACCAAAATTCAGCATCCTGGTTAATAAATGGGAAGTGGGAAGCATCCACACTCCTCTGCCCTTGTAATCATAGAATAAACTGCAACTTTTTACTTTCTCGAAACAACAACAACAACAACACATCTCCCTTAACAGAATACAGATTTTTCTTGAGCCCTCAGTTTATGCTATGTTGCTGTGGCTGAAATCATATAAGGAAAACAGCATCGGAGTGACATTACTTGGAAAACTGAAAAATTCAAAGACCTCTCTGAAAGTTCTTCATACACATACAAATGTTTAAGTGACTATGCCTGAAAATCATAGTATAGAATAGCTGCTTAGCAAACATCAAATAGAGAAGGAAATAACAAAAGTTAAGTTCTACAGAAAAATTAGTGTATTACCAATATAAAGCAAATTCTTCACAATCATTCTTACTATTCTGTTAGAGGATACAGGATTAACAAGATGAATACTGTATTAATCCCTGATTTTGTAATTCAATGAGGCTGAGCAAAATCTTCACACAATAAGGGCTAGAGCCATAGTAAAGTGGTACACCTTGCATGCAGCTGACTTGGATTCAATCCTTGGTATCTCATATAGTATCAAGCCTCATCAGATATGTACCAAAAAACAAACAAACAAACCCCCATTTCTGCCCCACACCTCTCAAAAAAAAAAAATCATCACACAATTCACTAATTACTAATTTCTGAAAAAATGTTTTTCCATTCTGGCTGCACATCTGAGTTACTTGTGAGCTTTAGACATACAAAATCATACATAGGTCTCGTAAAATGGAGCAGAGACTTTTAAAATAGCTGTTTTAAGAAGGACAAGGACAATTACCTGATGTTTTCACTATCTGTAGCATATATAATAACATGTCTAGGGAATGCAAGATATCAAATATGGGAAAGTCAAGGACTCTGGAAGAAGACAAGGTCTAGAATTAACAAAGGAGCAAAGGATAGACCTGTGGTTCACCTGTGGTATAGAGACAAGGTTGTCTGTATAAATTTATACCACTAGACCCAGCACAATTGAAAGCTTGGGATCCAAACTGTAATAATTAAACTTAGAAAGAGTCATATTGGAGGTATGGTACCTAGGATCACAGGCAGAGGTATAAAATCACAAGGTGGTGGAAACAATTGTAAGATTGAAACCCCATGGTCAATAACTTTGTAAATCATGCATCTAAATAAAATTATTTTTTTAAAAGTAGTTCTTTCTGGGATAAGAAATAAGTGTTGGAAATATTAATGAGTTAGTAACTTATGAATACACTTAATGATATAAACTATACATTTAAAATGTTAAAAACTGTCCTTCAGGAAAGTAAACAAACAAAAAGCCTTTCAAAAAGGAATGAAAACCAGCCTGAACCATGAGATTCTGAAAACAGAATTGTGAAGAACATGTTAGTTTACTTACCTGCAACATACTGACTATTTCAACTTTGTTGAAGAAAATAAAAGACGTGAGAGTTGAAAGAAAATTCTCCTCAAAAACGGATGGTGTAGGCAGTATGATGTCCTGAATATATTGTACCCTGTAAGTCTGATGTATTTTTTGCCTTAGTTCAGAGTCTGTTATTGGAATTACTTCCTTAAACTTTGCAGTTTTGGTTAAGAATTCTCTATGTCTTTTAGGCTGTGCCAAAGCAGGGTCATACTCAAGGCATCCGACGACATCCATAATACACTCATCAGAAAACATTACCTCAAACAGAGTTGCCTTATTTAGGAATAAGATTCCTCTAATAATTTCATACAAATGGTGTAAACCTTCAGTGTTTTCTAGGTTCTCACAAGCTTGGAAAAGCTGCAGTAGTTTTTTAATATAGCCTTCATTTTCCAAGGCCAGAGCCAGCTTTTCTCTACGGATAGGCGAGGAGAGAACTGAGGTAACTAAGTCAGCAATCTCTTCAAGTTTATTGAGTTCACACGTGGGCAGGTCAATCAAATGACTGGTTTCAGGCATTTCTTCAAATCGTTCTTCTTCTGACTCATCAATGAGGTCCTGCGTAACTTCCACTGATGGATCCTTACCTTGAACCTGAAAATGTATATCCAAGTATAACTGGTTACCTTAAGGTAAAAAATAATCCAAAATTTTGGCAATCAAATTACTGATCATTGACTTCAAATAAACTTGCAAAGAATACTAAGGCTGGGAAAATGGCTCAAAGGAAAGGATGGAGCACATGCTTTGTATGAGAAGCCCAGGTTCAATCCCTGGTATTATGTTTCTCCTTGAGCACCATCAGAAACAACTCCCAAGCACTATGCTGGAAGTAGCCCAGCCTAACAACATGTGGCTCCCAAACCAAAAAAATTTATCAATACTAAAAACAGAGTCATTGTTAATTGGAAATGAAGTCAGGGAGTAACAGATACATATCCAGTTTAGAGACTATTATTTTAGACTAAGTTACAGGTCAGATTATTTCACCTCTAAAGCTGCCAATTTATAATTTGAGATTAACTTTAATACTTATAAATTGAGGGGCCAGAGTGGTAGTATAGCAGGTAGGGTGCCTGCTGTGCAAGAAGCCAACCTACTTTCAAATCTTGGCATACCAAATGGTGCCCAAAAAGTAATTTGATTCCCAAATATTTGAATGATCAGTAACCCCTGATCCTCACTGGGTGTGGTCCCCAAATCAAAAATAAAACAAAACAACCGACTCCCCACCTCTACCCTAAAACTGGATAAACTCAAAATTTTAGCTAATATTATGCAGATTAAGGATACTTACATAACAACCACATGCAAATTAATTACCATACCGAACAATTTTTAATTCTGTAGAAGAGAACTTCCTTTGTACCCTCAAGTTACATATGACACTTAAAGCACCAATACATTGCCCTGTAAAGAGCATTATTAAGTTCAAATCAAATTAAAATAAATTTCTTGTATATTCAAGTTATGAGGGGGCACAGTAGGTAGGGTGTTTGCCTTGCACGTGTCCAACCCGGGTTTGATTCCCAGCATCCCATACGGTCCCCTGAGCACCTCCAGGAGCAATTCCTGAGTGCATGAGCCAGCAGTAACCCCTGTGCAACACCGAGTGTGATCCAAAAAGAAAAAAAAAAAAAAAGAGAAAATTAAGATTTCCTCAATTGCTTTTTTTTTTTTTTTTTGGTTTTCAGGTCATACCCAACCTGCTGTGTATCACTCTGGCCCTCCTCAACTACTTTTGAGGTTTACTTACTTTAGTATTTATTCTTTTCTGAGTTGAGATACTTCTACAAATTGTCTAAAAACCCAACATATTTATTTAATATCTGAGATAAAGTCTTCAAGATGTACTATCTAAAATCTGAGATAAAAATTCAGTATCTGAGATGAAAAGTCTTCAAGATCTAGACCACTTTACATAGTGATCCACTTATATGCCAATTTCATGACTTCATCTTTTCTAACAGCTATATTGTGTTGATGTACCAGAGTGTCTTTATTTGCTTAATTTCTTTAGCTTCATTTCTGTCTATCTGAAGACCATTTTTGCCCTATCCATTTCATGACTTAAGTTTGGTGAATTAAGACCAGAACAACAAATATTTGTGGACTACATATGTGTAAGTCTTATTAACGCCTGTCATCCTTAGGTATCAAAGCTTACTGGACATGTCCACATCTAAAAGAACAAAAACAACCAGTGTTGGTGCGAATGTGGGGAGAAAGGGACTCTCCTTCACTGCTGGCAGGAATACTGACTGTTTCAGCCCTTTTGGAAAACAGTATGGATGCTTCTCAAAAAACTAGAAATTGAGCTCCCATTTGACCCAGCAATACCACTTCTGGAAACGTATCCCAGAGAGGCAAAAAATTATAGTCGAAATGACATCTGCACTTGTATGTTCATTGCAGCACTGTTTACAATAGCCCAAATCTGGAAAAAACCTGAGTGCCCGAGAACAGATGACTGGTTAAAGACACTCTGGTACATCAATACAATATAGCTGTTAGAAAAGATGAAGTCATGAAATTGGCATATAAGTGGATCACTATGTAAAGTATCATGCTAAGTGAAATGAGTCAGAAAGAGAGGAACACAAAGAAAGACTACACTCACTTGTGAATATAAAGTAACAGAATGGGAGACTAAGACCCAAGAATAGAAGAGATAAGGACCAGGAGGATTTGCTCCACGGCTTGGAAGCCAGCCTCACATACTGGGGGAAAAGGCAGCTCAGATAAAGAAGGGACCACCAAGTAAAGGGTGCTTTACTTGGGATGGGAGATGAACGCTGAAAATAGACTATAGACCAAATATGATGGCCACTTAATACCTCTATTGCAAACCACAACACCCAAAAGGAGAGAGAGAGAGAGAGAGAGAGAGAGAGAGAGAGAGAGAGAGAGAGAGAGCGCACAAAAGGGAATGCCCTACTACAGAAGCTGAGTGGGGTGGGGGGAGGGGGTGGGGATGGGAAGAGGCATACTGGGATCATTGGTGGTGGAGAATGGGTACTAGTGGAGGGATGGGTACTCGATAATTGTAGGACTGAAATGTAACCACAAAAGTTTGTAAAACTGTAACTGTACCTCATGGAGATCCATAAATATGTGTGTGTGTGTTTATTTTTTTAAATGCTCACTGGACATAAAACCTCACAAACAAAATTCACGCACAATTTATAGAGAATATAAATATAAAATTGTATTTTCCAATAATTATTCTTATGTCTAAAATAAAAGCAATAAAGGCAAAACAGTAATATGAAAGTTTCAGAAAAGAGTTAAAAATAAATGCTATGGGGATGGAGCAATAGTACAGTGGGTAAGGTGTTTGCCTTGCATGCAGCCTACACAGGCTTGATCCTCAGCATCCCATAAGGTCCCCTGAGCATCACCAGGATTAACTCCTGAGTGCAGAGCCAGAAGCAACCCCTGAGCACTGCCAGATGTGATGGGGGGGGGGGGGGGGGAGCAATTCTTAACTTAAATTTCTGGTTATCAATTGTTCTAACAAAGATTTGCTTAAGGAAACCCTAACTACATGTATGTAAAGTCTCCTAAATGGACTACTAAAAGAGAAAAAAGGCACTGTTTTAAAATGAGGAAATCTGGGGCTGGAGTGATATCACAGCGGGTAGGGTGTATGCCTTGCACGCAGCCAACCCAGGTTTGATTCCCACCATCCCATATGGTCCCCTGAGCACCACCAGGTGTAATTCCTGAGTGCAGAGCCAGGAGTAACCCCTGTGCACTGCCAGGTGTGACTCAAAAAGAAAAAAAAAAAAAATAAAATGGAATGAGGAAATCTGAATGAAGACTTTAGGTAATAATATATTAATAATAATGTATGAACATTAAGAAAAGAGCGGGGAGATGGCTGGAGAGAGTTCAAGAGTTAAAGTGTTTATCTTGCATGTTGCTGACCCAGATTTTATTGCTGGCACCAAATATGGTACCACTTGGTATGGATCTGGTGGCTCCTATCACTGCCAACATGCCCAGGCAAGCCTCTGCACTTCAAGGTCCAAGCAGCAACATCCTATCTTGGGCTCTCAACCTTGGCCAAGAGAACTGCCAAGAGGCACACCCTGTGCTAACCCTATGCCCCCGCCAAAGGTATCAAAGAATTTGCTAGACTGTAAAAGAATTTCTAAGTTAACAGTCGCAAACCAAAATATTATCTCTTCATATTCCAAAGCACTTCTAGGCAAAAAGAAAAAAAAAGCATGTAAACAGTTAATTATTATTCAATCTGGGGCTGGAGTGATAGTACAGTGGGTAAGGCATTTGCCTTGCACATGGCCAACCCAGGGCTCAAGCCCCAGCATCCCATATGGTTCCTCAAGCACCGCCAGTAGTGATCCCTGAGTGCAGAGCCAGGAGGCAGCCCTGAGCATCACCAGGTGTGACATTAAAAGAAAAAATAAATTATTCGATCTTACCTGACAAATTTTTTCCCAGATCTCATCACAGCCAGCCTTCTCCTGAAAACTTAAAGCCAGATCATAGTTTTCAGCTTCTGACCAAACAATCAATGTATCCTGTTTAAAAGTAAAGATTTTATCATCATTACATCAGAAATCACATCAGTATGAAGAGTCCTTAAAAAATCAAAAATAGAAGTAACACATAATATCACCTCCAAAGAATTAGAAAACACTAACCTGAAAAAATATTTTCACCTCTATATTTATAGTATCATTATTCATAATAGCCAAAATATAGAATCAATCTAATTCTCCATCAACAAACAAGTGGAAAAAGATGGTGTGGTATACTCAAAGAAATATTACTTGATTGCTAAAGATGAAATGGAGTCTTCTCCCACAAAATGGATGAGACTACCAGATGGTTTTACACCAATGTGAAATACAAATGAACTAGAAATACATAATAAAAATAATATAAAAATAACTATACTGTGAAACATATGGTGGCTACCAGAAGGGTTAAGAAGACGAAAAAAATTAATATGGTCATTTTGATTCTGTGATGGCACTTCTGTGTGTTGGCTGCGTGACATCTTATCATCTCATTCTTACTTTGGACAAACTGGCAAGCTACCGAACGTAACCTGCCCACTCGGCAGAGTCTGGCAAACTCCCCGTGGCGTACCCAATATCCCAAATACCAGTAACAATGAAGGGTCTCATTCTCCTAATTCTGAAAGAGCCTTGAATATGGCACTTTTAAAAAAATCTCAGGGCTAGGACTAAGGAGACGTTACTGGGGCCTGCTCGAGAAAATCGACGAACAGGATAGTCATGATCGTGATGGCACTTGGGGCACCATATGCAGTGCTGGATTTAAACTACTGCTGTGTAGGGCTGGAGCGATAGTACAGTGGGTAGGGCATTTGCTTTGCATGTGGCCAACCTGGGTTCAATTCCCAGCATCCCATATGGTCCCCTGAGCACGGCCAGGAGTTAATTCCTGAGTGCAGAGCCAGGAGTAACCCCTGAGCATCGCTGGGTGTGACCCAACAAAAGCAAAAATAAATAAATAAATACTGCTGTGGCTGCAGTTCCATGTGAAAGCAAATGTCTTCCCCTGTGTATCACCTCTTTGGCTTAGTGCCAGAAATTCTGTGGTGGGTGTATACATGTATAAAACTGCGATAGTACAGCAGGCAGGTCATTTTCCTTGTACTCGGTCAACCTGGGTTTAATCCCTAGGATCCCAAAACTGCCAGGAATGATTCCTGAGTCCAAAGTCAGGAATAATTCCTGAGTATCACCAGGTGTGTTCAAAAAATACAAACAACCCCCACTCCTCTTCCTTTACCATTTTTTTTTTGAGGGGCACACCTGGTGATGACTAGGGGTTACTTCTGGCTCTACACTCAGGAATTACTCCTAACATGTGGGAAGCCAGGATTTGAACCTGGGTCATCTATGTGCACGGCAAACACCTACTTGCTTCACTATGACTCCAGTCCCTGTACTCACTGAATTTTAAAACAGTTTGACCATCATCTTATTTGATCATCAGTTGAATTTAAACTACTCTTTTAAATCCTATTAAGGAATGTATCCATCTTATTAGGTTTACAGATTTGTTTTATTGGAAACTACCTGTAAATAATTATCTGCATGTATGGGGTACAACTGTTCACAATAGATACGAAATACTTTGCATGTAAGTTATTCTTTTTTCAAAACAATGCATATTTTACAATCTTGACCAAATGTTTAAGAGCAAAAGTAGTGTTTACTTCTGATAAACATATAAACAGGTCTTTTTTCAAATCCAAGTGTTTCATATAATGCATCTGATTCTGTATTTTTTTTTCTTTCAGTATGGGGATTAAACCCAGAATCTCACATATACATAATACTCTACCACGGAGCCCTATCTCCATCCACTGCATTCCATTTAGAAGACACTAAAAATATCAAGTGAAATCCCAAATCCTCTATGTAGGGGTCTCTAAGGTCCTTTCTACTTGGTTTTAAACCACATTCTGATGACATAAGCAATGACATCTGAAAAGAATTAAGTTCTCATACTTCTTTTGCTCTCTTTCCAGTTCTCCTTTTTCCTACACTAGCTTTTAAAAAAAAACCCAGAAACTAAACAAAATTTATATTAAGAACTGCCTTTCAAAATAAATATCAAACATGGGATATATTTAACAACAGATTCTCATAACTCACCCCTGGTCCAAACTGTGAGATGTCTGATTAGATAAAATATAGTATAGAAGATAAGGCACTGCCTTTTATGTTGCTGATCCATCACGGCATAAGGACCTCTGAGCATGGCCAGGTGTGACCCCTGAGCAGAGTCAGGAGTAAGCCTTGAGCATTTCCTAGGTGTGGCCCAACTTTCCGTTAAAAAAGAAAACTCCCCCCACCAAACAAAAAACAAACAAATCCAAACTCCAAATGATGAGATCTTCCAAGTGTGAGGCCTTCAATTCAATCCCCAGTGTTGCCAACATACACTAAGCACAACCCCAGTAGCCCTGCAATCTGATCCAGGGAGACAATGCAATTTCTGGTCACATTCAAGGGTGTGACCACACATGAGCACTGCAACTGGATGGGCAAGTTTCATGGCCAGGGCTGTGGACGCCCTCACAACCCAAACGTGTGTAAACACAAATTAAAAGTATGCAACTCCTGGCAAGCACCAAGAATGTGTGAAAGCACTGCAACTAAATAGAGCTGGGGGCTGGAGCGATAGCACAGCGGGTAGGGCGTTCGCCTTACAAGCGGCCAACATGGCCGACCCGAGTTCGATTCCTCCGCCCCTCTCGGAGAGCCTGGCAAGCTACCGAGAGTATTCGATATGCCAGACACAGTAACAACAAAGTCTCCAATGGAGACGTTACTGGGCCCACTCGAGCAAATCGACGATCAACGGGAGGGCCTTTACCTTTTACCTTTATAAAAGTACCACAACCATGCATGTAGGTGTGTAACCCATGGCACCTCTTAACATCAACAGAGAGAAGGAAAGAGGAAATAAACTATAAATAATCATCCTACCTCCAATTTGGCACATTACATTTTTGTTGGGAAAAGGTCTTCTGTTCAATTGATTTTGCTGTTTGGGTCACACCCGGTGATGCACAGGGGTTACTCCTGGCTCATGCACTCAGGAATTACTCCTGGCAGTGCTCGGGGGACTATATGGGATGCTGGGAATCGAACCCAAGTCAGCTGAGTGCAAGGCAAACGCCCTACCCACTATTGCTCCAGCCCCTAGTCTTCTGTTTTAAGTCATAAGGTACCTGTGACATTTTAAAAGAGTCTAATAAACAAATGATACATTTCGGTGTTCCTCTACAGTATTCGTTTATTTGACTAACAAGAATAAAATCATGAACTAGCTGAGATGCTAATGCTTGCCAGACCCTATCTTCATCCTTTATTACTGAGTCAAAAGTCAGTATTTTATAAAAAATTAAAAAATTTAAAAGAAAAACAGAAATGACTTATAGAATTTCAATTTAGATTTGAAACATTTTAAGGAGCTGTAGATATAGAACAGTAATTAAGGCACTTATCCTGCACACGTGACTCACCAGGATTCAATCCCTGGCATCCCATGTGGACCCGAGCCCTGCCAGGCATGATCCCTTAGTGCAGTGCTAGGAGTAAGCCCCGAGGGCCACTTGGAGTGGTCCCCAAACTACATATACAATAAATTTAAAAGCCTGATAGAGATTAACCAAATGATGCTACATTAAACTTTCTAGTAGATCCTAACATATGATTCAAACTCTTTATGAATCCTCAAAAAAACAGTATGGAGTAATACCATCTAACATGCACTCAAGACAAGATAAAATGACACTGCTTAAAAACAACAGAAATACTGTTTCTTCTGAAAATGTGTTATATTTGCACACAATGGGAATAATTCTGGGCTAGAAAATAGGACGTGAACATTATTTCACGGTTCACTTTTTCCGACTTTTGGCAAAATAGTGAAACTTCTGATGTTATTTACTACTTGGAAAAGAGAAAAATTGAAGGTATGGTGCAGCCAGCAGGTCAATCTGTACCTGCAGGGCACGTGCATCAGCAGCCTGATGGTGCCTTCAAAAGTGCTGCTGAACCTTTGTCCAACACTTGGGACCAAGTTTACCAAGAAATTAAAAGGCCAAAAATTAGGTATGTGGGGGCGACACCCACAAACCACCTCTGGCACAGCTATACAAGCTCATTTATCAGCCTTATTTCAGAAGCCCATAAATAAATCTCGAAAGAGATCAAAAGCCACAGTTAATCTCAGACCCACACATGGCTTAATAGACAGGGGTAAATCAGAGGGGGGCAGGTTGGCCTGGTGCCCGCCCAAGCACAGCCCCTGGCAGCCGCTTGCTTCCACAATCCAAAATTGCCACCATATCCCTGGCTTGCCTTCTCTGTCTCAGGATGGACCTCACCAAGATATAATTTGCTGAAAATTCGGGTATGGAGGTTTTGTGACTGAAATCTCTAGGCTTTCTCAAAGTTGGGATGGGCTGCCTCCCCCAAACTTCCCAATACTCCTGGATGCACTGGCAGTCACCTCCATTAACCAAACTCGCCACCGTGGAAGCTCTACTACTGGCCTTGCTTCTGAGACCCATTAAATAAATCCCCCCAAAAATCAAAAGCCGTAGTTAATCTTGGACCCGTGCATGGCTGAACAGAGCGGGGTAAATTGGAGGGGGGATGGCATGCAGAGCCTCGGGTAGCCATTTGCTTCCACAATCCAAAATCGCCACCATACCGCCAGCTTGACTCCACCATCATGGGTTGGACCTTACCAAGATATAATCTGCTGAAAATTTGGCTATGTGGGTTTTGTGACTGAAATCTCTAGACTTTCTCCGATTTGGGATGGCCACCCTCCCCACCACTTCCCAATATTCCTGGAAACATGGCACTCACGCCCCACGAACCAACTCCTGCACCACCATGTAAGCTCTGCTACCGGTCTTGCTTCAGAGACACAAATAAATCTCGAAAGAGATCAGAAGCTGCACTTGGTCTAGGACCCACACAAGGCTGAACAGATGGAGGTATATCAAAAGGGGGAAGGG